GTGGGGGGGGTGAACACTGCTTCTGTGCTCTGTGAGGTCTGCAGTGGGGATCTGTGAGTGTGTAGTGTGAACACTGCTTCTGTTCTCTGTGAGGTCTGCAATGGGGTTCTGTGAGTGGGGGGGGTGAACACTGCTTCTGTGCTCTGTGAGGTCTGCATTGGGGGTCTGTGAGTGTAGGGTGGGTGTGAACACTGCTTTTGTGCTCTGTGAGGTCTGCAGTGGGGGTCTGTGAGTGAGTATGTGCGGTGTGAACACTGCTTCTGTTCTCTGTGAGGTCTGCAGTGGGGTCCTGTGAGTGTGTGTGTGGTGTGAACACTGCTGTGCACTGTGAGGTCTGCAGTGGGGGTCTGTGAGTGTGTGTGGGGGGGGTGAACACTGCTTCTGTGCTCTGTGTGTTTCAGCATGGGTGTGGATGGCAACAGCTGTGTGTAAATGTGGAAGTACAATCCGTGTTTATGAGCAGAGGATGAATTTCAGTTAAATAATCAACTTCGGTCACTGGGTATGCAAGGGGGATTTGTGGTGGTGTTAAGTGCCTTCATGTCAAATACGACCCATAGCCACCCTGTAAACAACAGATCTGAATCCTGTATTGCCTCACCCCATCCTCTTCATCCTCAACCCATTTGAGTCTATGCCATAGACACTGTATCAGCACATCTCAATCTTTACATGATTAGGCCAGCTTATTGTGGAGGCAGAATCCAAGCCCTCAGCACCTTCCCAAGTGCTCTCAGTTTTCTGCAAGACCTGGGTTGTGGTGCTGAGGCATCTATTTTGAGTACAGGCTTGTCCCTCATGCCTGGTTCCACCTGCCGTGGCAGGATCCTGCCCAGCACCTTGTCCTGAGACATCCCTTAAATGGTTCCCAGGGAGACACATCTGTCCTAGCCCAGAGCTGTCTCCTCCTCCCATGGCCACATGTGACCGTTGTGAGCCATAGGAAGGACAGAATCCTGCACTGACTTGTCCCCACTCTGGCCTCTAGAAGACAAGAGCAAGCACTTCTGAGCCCTGTCCCCACACTCACAAACCAGGGAGGGTGAGCTATACAGCAGCTTCCAACAGCTCACTGGAGGGTATCCTGGAGCTCCACAGGGTCACGTATGGCATGTGTCCAGAACTGGATTTTCTGGCCAGTGTAAAAGTCACATCAGTATAATTGATGGCCCCTCAGGGGTTGTCCAGAGCTTACTGCCTGGTGGCTCCTTCACCCCAGGAATTCATGCACCATTATGTTTATGCAATCCCGGGCCAACACTGGGGAGTGGTGGCTGAGAACAGGAGAGGCTAACTGGGGAGAGGAATGCGCCCATCTGATGCATGGCCGAGGTGACCGGAGTGTGGGCTGTGAGTCTGGAGCAGCCACCTGAGCACAGAACTTGGGAGGTAGCTGCCCGTCCCCTCTCTTCAGGTGGGGGGATCCAGGCTGTGGGAAGGCAACTGTGGAGGTGGGCCGACTCTCGCTGGGGACTCTCTTAAGATTTTTAAGTTTCTCTGGGTCTCAGATCCTGGTTCTGCATGCAGGTTCCCTCACCTGCTCTGGAGTGGGACGGTGCTGAAGACCATGCTGGACATCCTGCAGACCCTGTCATTGTCGCTGAGTGCCGTGAGTGCCCTGGGCCTGGTGCCAGGCACCTGAGCATGACATGTCCCTTCAGGACTTGAGTAGAGAGAGGGATAGATCCCACCCTGATGCAGAAGCTGTCATAGGCATGGGGGCATGTCACACATGTCAGATGAAGGACAGGTGGGGAGGCCATCCTCCTGGGGACATGTCACAAACATGTGGTAGATGGAGGGCAGCATGGGGAGGCTCTCTTCCTGGAGATGTGTCACACACGTGTGGTGGTGGGCAGATGGCAGTGTGGTGAGGCCATCTACATGGGAATGTGTAGATGGTAGATAGAGTCCAGTATGGGGAGACTGTCCTCCGGGGAATATGTCACACACATGTGATGGGGGGAGGGTAGTGTGAGGAGGCTGTCCTTCTGAGGACATGTCACACATGTGGTGGGTGGAGGGCAGTGTTGTGAGATCATCCACATCGGGTTATCTCACACACGTGTGTTGGTGAGAGGAGGGCAATGTGATGAGGCCATCCATGTCAGGGCATGTCACACGTGTGGTAGTGGGCGGAGGGCAGTGTGGTGAGGCCATCCTCTGTACTTCCAGGACATCCACAAGGACCAGCCATATTATAATATCCCCGACGCCCCCTACCGGATCACAGTTCCCGACACATATGAGGCCCGGGAGGTAGGCCAGCACCCACTTGTCATGAGTCATTTTCCCTCTGAGTGTACCAAGTGCTTTCAAGGCATTGGTCAATTGTAAGGTGTGAGTGAGAGGAGCTTCTCTCACGAAGGGACCCTCACTGTTGACCAAGTCACAGTATGCAGTACACCGCACCTCCACCCAGTCCAGCTCTCCCCAAAGCCAGCACTCCACACACCTGCTGATGACTGTGGCCAGCATGGCTCTGCCATTAGAGGGCGTGACCCAGCCGTGGTTGTGCATGGTTTCCCCCTTCCCCCCATAGGCGTCCATGACTACCAGGTCTTCCCTAGGGAGGTGGGATTTTCAGGCAAACTTCACTTCCCTAAGATGTGCTGACTTCTTTGTTGTGAGCTTCCTGTCACTGCTGGCTTTTCGTTAGACCCTGGAGAAACAGACAGATAAACAGCTCCAGTGTGAAAGCATGAGCTTACCTTTTTCCCCCAGCTGGGTCTAATTCAGGAGCCCTCCCTCGGCACTATTGAGGCCTCAGCTTAGTGTGACTCCTTGCGCTGGGCTGGTCACCTCACTTGGGACTCGTCTGTGTGACAACGTACAGCAGCTTGCACTTGTGATGGATTTTCACCCCAGAACCTGCCTGCCCTCCCTTCCTGGTGTTGTGACTCTGCTCCCAGCTGCAGCATGAGATGCTAGCACACTTGTCCCATGTTCCTCTGCCTCAGGTTGTGGGTCACACAGGAACAGCTGCCCACACACAGTGGGCTTTATGGCAGGCTCAGTCCCACAAATGGCACCTGGCTGCCCTCCAACAGCCCAGGTAGACTGGCCTCAGGTCGTTCAAGGACAGGCACTCTCTTCCAGAGCATCGTGAAGGACTTTGCTGCACGCTGTGGTATGATCCTGCAGGAGGCAATGAAGTGGGCGCCAACTGTCACCAAATCCCATCTTCAGGTATGTATTGGAAACCCACAAGATCAGGCAGTGAGCCCTCTACGCTGACCAGCAGGGTCTGGGTTGATATGAGAGCCCAGATCACTCGACTCTGCATAAGGCAACCTAGACTGTGGGCCTAGGTTCTCAGACAGTGATTTTCTGGGATTAGATCACCAGGTCCTCTTCCCAGCGTACCACTGGGTGAACTTGAACATCCACCACCTTTTACTTGGGAGCCGAGCATGTGGACAATTTGTACCATGCAAGGATTTGGTAAATAAATGTTGTTTGCTGTCAAGTCAGAAACAACTCAGCTGATCCTCCAGCACATTTTCAGAGGCAGTAAATCACATGATAGGAGGTTGCCCATCCTTCTGTGGAGAAACTGGTGGATTCAAACTACATGACTTCAAGATTGCAGCACAACTTCTGACCACTAGGCCAGAAGAGCTCCCTGAATAAACAGAGACCAAGAATATTGGCTGGAGCCTGAGGCTAGTAGACATTTACAAAGCAGATTAGAATCAGACACCATGGAGTATGTGACAGTGAGACAGTGAGGAGAGCAAGTGTGTGGACCAGCTGACAGGACAGACAGCTCCAAGCTCACCTCACCAGTTGTCTTCTGGCAGCATGTGGAGGCAGGAAGGCAGGATCAGGCACTGTCCCTGAGGGGCTGCACAGGTGCATCAAGGACCATGGGTGCCTGATGGCCACCCCTAGGCAGCATTCTTACGTGTGCCCAAGTCTTCTACTACAAGAGCACTTGACTTGTAAATGCTAGCAACTTCAGAATAAGCCATTGCCCCAGAGATGGCCGTTCGCAGGCAGAACAGCAGCACCACAGGGTAGACAGACAGAAGTCACCTCAAAGGGGGCTAGAGGTGTCAAGATCAGGAAGACTTCTGGCCTTGTGTGAGCAGGTGCTTGGAGCAAGTTGGTGAGGAGAGTTTGCCTCCCTGTTAAAGATGAGGCTGGTTTGGCAGTGCAGGGTTAGGTCCTGACGAGGGTGTGTTCGGAGCAAGCTGGTGAGGGGAGCTGGCGGCCCTGTTAAAAATGAGGCTGGTTCAGCAGTGCTGGGTTGGGTCCAGGAAGGGCAGAACCTCGAGCTCCAAGGACCCACAGGCTGTGCCTCAGGCTATAAAGGTTCCTCCTGCCACAGTACAGAAAAGAGCAAAGCTGAGCCAGGTAAAGCTGAACAGAGCAGCCTTATTATTCAGCGACTCCTGCAACCTGTGTCTGCCTCATCTTTGCCCTAGAACTCTCCAGAGTGGAGTGATTGCTAATACTTGAGAAATCTTTAATTCTGGTTTTATGCAAAGGAAAAAGATCTCGGCCCCCAAGGTGGCAATCGAAGAGGGGTGGGCCCTTACTCATAAAGTGGTCACATGTTTTGTCTTCTCTGATGTCCTGAGGCCTGGCTTAGGAATGGTAGGGAGAAAGGAGAGCAGAGTATCCCAGCAGGCCACACTCCTCACCCGTGTACAACCAGGCAGTTCTGGGCTCCCCAGCCCACCTCTGGGAGGCTCCACTTTCCACCTCGTCACCATCCTCTGCTCTCTGTGCTGCTTGCTAAAGCAGTCCACTTAGAAAACGTGTTCCCTAGGGACTCCCCATCATTGCATCATTAACTCTGTCACCATTGTGTTTGAACTGATGAGAATCGCCCTGGAGCAGGCTGTTGTGACATGTGTTTGCCACTTGAGGCCTCTCCCGCTGGTCCCTTGCTGAGCACCTGGGATGCCCAGGCCTGTGGGCATGTGCACACACGCGCACACCCACCACCATGTCCCTGCATTTGCCATTTGCTGACCAGATAGACGTACCTTGGTCACTGCTATCTGGCCCACACACCCTTTTGAATACTTCAGCCCTGGGAGGGAGAACACATCCCAACCCTTAACACTTGCTTCTCCAGAACGAGGTATATAGCAAAGTGGACTTGGGGGCAGGGGAGAATTGTGCAGTAATGAAAGAATATTTTTTAAGAGAAAAGTGAACTAGGGGGGCAGTAGAGAGGAAAATGTGCAACAGTGAATGAATAGAAATCCAAGTTCTTGGTAAACTTTCATTAAATCTCAATTTAAAAAAAAAAAAGGAAAATAAACTAGTCTTTTTCTTCTCTCAGGAATACCTGAACAAGCATCAGAACTGGGTATCGGGGCTGTCCCAGCACACAGGCTTGGCCATGGCCACTGAAAGTATCCTGCACTTTGCCGGCTACAATAAGCAGAACACAACTCTAGGGGTAGGTGACACACTGAACAGCACCCCTGGGCGCAGGCGGTGGGATGCAGTCCTGCAGAAAGGCAGTTGGAACACATGGGTTCTGGAAGTTTGAGTTCAGTCCATGGCAGGGGTCACTTTTGACGTCAAGTGCCATATCACAGCAGAGCAAGATGTTAGTGGCGTTATCTTGGAGGCTGTATATTTGAATTGCTCTCTTGGGCTACTTGGTAGATTTTAGTTTTCTACAAATGCTATTCTGATGTAGCTGAACATAGAGTACAGCAGACTCAGTTAATCAGCCAGGTGCCATTGAAGTGTCCCTGGCTCATGGTGTCTGCACATCGTCACGTTCCTGACGTCCCCATATTCCCAGCTCACGGCATCCACACATCCCCGTGTTCCTGGCTCCCGGCACACAGAGTCCCCATGTACCCAGCTAAACACTGTCCCTGGGTCCCTAGCTCACGGTGTTCCCAGCTCACCATGTCTCCAAATCCCTGGCTCACAGCATCCTCATGTCCCTGCATCCCCAGCTCACAGCATCCCCGCAATCCTGGCATCCTCACATTCCAGCTCACAGCATCCCCAATACCTGGCATCCCTACATCCCCAGCTCATGGGGTCCCTGTATGCATCAGCGCAGAACTGTGCCCCAGAGGGTTTTCAGGGACAGATCTTTCAGAAGTCGATTGGCAAGCTGTTCTTCCGGGGCACTTTTGAGTAGATTCCTGTCGTCACCATTTTACTTTGCCCCAAGCACATAGCCCACAGCACCACCCAGGACTCCGACTGAGCTCCTCAGGCATGCTGCTCATTAGTGTCAGGACAGGCATTGGACAAGTGGTGCTCTGGCCGGCCTGATGGGGCAGGTGTAGAGTGTAGCAGCCTCAGTTACCAGGGCCAGGAACGCCGGAAGGTGGCCTGTCTCGGAAGGGTATGGTATGATAATGGTGCAGAGGCTGAGAGCATGGGAAGGAAGGCTACAGGACTGGCCTATGGCTCTTCATCCCATCCCCCAAGCTAGGAAGGAGCTGGAGTACAGGACCCGTGAGCAGTGCCCGAGGTAGATGACTGTCACTGCTTTCCTGGTTATCGAAGCACTCATGCCGAGCTCATTGTGTTTCTTGTAGAGATGTCTACCTCTGCACACATGGCCAACTGAGCTATGACTGGCTGATTGATTGCACAGGCTGGCCTGCTGTCCTATACCTTGGGGCCCCTACTCTGGCACGTCTACGGTGCAGACTGGCACTGGGCACAGCTTTCAACACTTTGAGGATGCAGCCAGAGGCCTGGAGGAAAAGTCACAAACCAAGCACATGGGTGCAGACTGTAGTCCTTTACTAGGCTCCAGCCAGCTGACCCCTTCCAGCTTTGTTCTGCCCACTTGGTTTCAGTCACCATCCTCGGAACATTTAAGTTAGGCTCTCTCTCTCTCTCTCTGTTGCTGCACAAGGACAGATGTTCCTTCATTGTGCTTTGATTGTTGGTGTGTTTGGGATCCTAACCGAAGTGGTACCTGCTCTGTGTAATTCCTCCCATCACTCAGAATATTCCAGAGGGGAGAAGCTGTGTCAGAGGGACATTCTTAGAAGCATGGTCGCAGACTGCCTACCAGATTGTGCCACCCCAGGGACTTGTCAGGAGCCATGGGAACCCCTTCAACTAGGCTGAGATCATGGGGTTCACCACAGCTCTGCCCTGTGGTGTGGCATGTCATGTGCAGAGCAAGCTCAGCAAGGAATGCCCAGGGACCCACCTCATAACTTTGGCCCACTCTAACAATCAAGGAATTCATTCTCGTCTCCCCAGCAGTGTCTCCTTTTCCAGAAAGGAGATTTTCCCAAATTGTGTTGATTGTTATAAAGATATATTGAGAAGATGTGGATATTGGTCCTGTATCCTCCCATTGTGGCAGTAATGATGAGCAGCGGGCACCCTAGAACTCCCAAGTCTGGGAGCTTGGAGGATGGCCCTGTGACTCTCTGAAGGGAACCCAGAATTTGGGATTCCTGCCCAGGGCCTGGGCTCCCTTTGTGAAGTCACAGAGAAGTCGGCTAAAGAAAGGGGGACCCAAGAGAATGGCGTGAATGAGGTTTGGTTGGAAGCCACCTAGACTGAGTCTAAACCTCTGGGGGGTTGTTTTCACACTTTTCACATGTTCTGGTCAGCCCCCGCTCCTGCATGGCTCTGTGTCCCCTGCCAGCACATCCAGGCCACCTCCCACCTCCAACTCCTACATGGCCTCATGTCCCCTGCATGGCCTCAGTGGCCCCTGCTGGCACTTTCCAGCCACCTCCAACCTCTAACTCCTGTGTGGCCCCTGCTGGGACATTCTAGCCAACCCCCTCCTCCAACTTCTTCATGGCCCCTGCTGGCACGAGCTCTCAGATTTCCTGCTGGATGGGGCCCTCTATCACACCATCAGAACCATGTCAGTGTCATGTCATGTCAGCACAAACGTGTCAGATTGTACATGTGCTCTCAACTGTCTTCATCACCTGAAGACGTGGGGAATAGACAGCCCCCAGACTGGGGGCCTATCTGGCGGTGGATGACAGAGGGTGGCAGGAGTGTCAGCCAGCCGTGAACACATGGCACCACAGCTGCCTGTGTTCAGAAACAGTGCACTGGCTTCCCAGGCATAACCCTCCTCCAGTCCCAAGTCTCCTTTTGAAACCCTACTGTCGAGGACTGTATTTTCTAAATTCCCCGTAGCTACCCGGCCTCTCTGGTGACTTCTGCCCTTCAGAGGACGGGGATGGTCCTAGCAACACCCCATCCACCCTGTGTTGCTGAGCTGGCACGGGCCTGAGGTCTCCAAGCTTGCTCACTGCACTGTGGTGGGGTGAAAAGGGGGTATCCTCTGGGCTCTGCTTGGGGCCACCCACTGGGATGGGAAAGGTGGTCATCACTCTGCTTCTGGTGCCCTGAATGAGCTGGGTGCCTGTCTTTGCTTACCTCTACAGCCTCACCTGTCCTCTCTGCTTGCCCCTGGGCCTGCCAGGTACTCCTCCGTCCCCTGCATACTACTCCATTAACTTGTCCCCTCTCCTGTGTCCCTTGGCCACTGTGTGGGCAACCTTTTCATCATACACCCACACTCAGTGCCCCAGACTGCCACCACCACGCCACAGTGGCAGCAGCTACCACGTGTAGTGTAGTGGATAGTGCGTCTGTCAGCCAGTTTCAGGAGGAAAACTGGAGTCACAGCTGGAGAGGGCAGAGTCTCAGACTGACTCCAGAGCCTGCCTCTTCTAGCCTCTTCTACATGCAACAGGGCCGTTCAGAGGTGAGGAAGGGGCAGAGCTCAGCCCTATGGACAAGAGCCTAGGCTGCCTTTGCTCTTCCCTCCTGCCCCGACCAGACCTGGGTTCCTCTGGGTCCTGCCCAGGTGCTCACAGTACCTCCTTCCCCACATTAGCCTCCACAGAACCTCCTTTATTATCACTGTTAGCTGCAATGCTAGCTCAGTCCTTTCCACCTCTGCCCTCAGCTACCTCTGCAATGACCATCCATCACTCAGTGTAGGCTATTGGGACAGCGGGGTCGAGCTATACTGCAGGCTGCCTTCCAGGGAGCTGTGCATATGTGGCTCTGGTGGGCCTCTTCTGAGAGTTGTGTCAGACTGTAAAGATGTCCTGCATGGTTTCATTTGATTAACATATCCCTAACCCCAGGCATCTTCATTTGTGTTTTGCCATAGCAGACCTGTGGCTGCCGCAATTTAAATACTTCTCCATGTTTGTGTATAGGCAACGCAGCTGACTGAGCGGCCAGCCTGTGTGAAGAAAGACTACTCCAATTTCATGGCGTCCCTGAACCTGCGGAACCGCTATGCTGGAGAGGTGCGTCTTCCCTCGTGTCAGAGGCGGCCTTTCCTCCTGTCCTTGTGTCCCAATGCCACTGAGCTCCTTCCACAAGAGATGTGAGGGAGGGATGTGAGTAGGTGTGGAGAAGATGGCACATGCACTAAGGTAGATTTGGGGCCTCTGGAACATTCTGCAACATTTGACACTTGAGCGTGACAGTTGCCTGCTCATACTGGGGGAGGTTTCAAGCACCAGTCTTCTTTTGGGCAGACTCTCTTTGATGTAGTGAACATTTGCTGCCTCCCACCCTGCCTGAGATAATAGGTCTGTTAAGTTCAGTGCTACAGAAAATGAAACCAAGACCCAAGTCACTTAATACATGCCTACAGTAGGGAGCTCTGGTGGCTTAGCAAACACACAGGTACACAGTTTAAATCCACCAGCTGTTCTATGTGAAAAAGATGGGTAGTCAACTCCTGTGTGGTTCACTGCCTCTGAAAACCTGCTGGAGGGTCAGCTGCGGGTTGGTTCTGACTCGATGGTACACAACAGAAGAAAAGGGTTAGTAGCTCTGGTAGATTAGTGGTAAGAAACTGTGTTGTAATGCCAAAGGCATACAAGTTCAGATCCATCCGCTGCTCCACAGGGAGAAAGATGGACAATTTCCTCCTCTTTAATTTGCTATCTCTAAAAAATCCACTGGAGGGTCAGCTATGGGTCTGTTCTGACTCAGCAGGGTAGTGGATAGGCCATTGTTACAACAGTAATTCCAGAATTGCTTTGAGGAGCAGCATGACCCGTACCAAAGCGAGTCCATTGTTCTCTGCATGATGGGTCCTAGTGTGAGATACGAGCACCTGCTGGTCTTACTAGGAGGTAGCCTGTGTCACATGACTAGCGTGATCCTTCTACAGGTGTATGGAATGATCCGCTTCTCAGAAGCCACAGGCCAGATGTCCGACCTGAACAGGATGATGATCCAGGAGCTCAGCATGGCCCTGGACCTGGGCAGCCCGCAACATTACACACAGGCCATGTTCAAGCTGACCGCCATGCTCATTAGCAGCAGAGGTGAGCAGGCCAGATGTGGCCGTGGCCGAGTGGCCAGTTGGACCTCCCTACTGTTACCTCTCACAGGGATGGACACTAAGGGTCCAGACATTTCCTAGTTGGACCATTGGGCACAGCTCTGTGGTCAGTCCAGCTAGACACCATGTCTAAGGACCTCTAAGTACCCCCCTGTTTGCTTGCAGAGTGTGACCCCCAGCTCCTCCACCACCTGTGCTGGGGTCCCCTCCAGATGTTCAATGAGCATGGCATCGAGACGGCTCTGGCTTGCTGGGAATGGCTGCTGGCAGGCAAGAATGGCGTGGAAGTGCCGGTAGGCCCTGGGTGGGGATGAGCACAGCAAGCCCACTCCTGTAGCCCCCGTCCTATAAAATCATGTTCCCTCCCCACCCCCAGGGACTGCTGTGTGGATAAGAGATGAATGGAGAGAACATCCTGGGGGGTCAGGTCAGCCCCCACCATACGTCAGGGTTACGCTCCCATGTGTATCCGAGTACAGCTGTGCTCCACAAAGTTTCCTTTGTTTAAACAAAATAATTTTGTGTGGCTTTGTGATTTTTGAGAATTCCGACACAGCAGACATGTACACAGATGCAGGTGTGTGTATGCACAGTCCTGTGATACTGATTGCATCCCTCAGCTTATGCAGCCTGCATTCCCATCCTCCTTCCCACACCTGCTTCTTCACATCCCAGGCCTTCTTCCAGGGTGCCTCTGGGTGGAGACCAGCCTCCAGCCCTGACTCTTCCAATGGTGCTTTGTTGTCATCACTGTGAAGTCAGCTCTGTTTTAACTTACATTATTGTTTCTGTTAGGTGCCATCAAGTACAACTCATAGCAACCTTGTGAACAACAGATCAGAGCCCTGTCCTCTCCTAAGCCAGCCTCACAGTCTGTCACACCCACACCCATTGCAGCAGTCACTGTGTCAGTACCTTCTGGTTGAAGGTCTTCTCTACTTCACCAACCCACACCTTCCCGAGCATACTGTCCCTTCTCAGAAACCTTAAAAATAGTAGTAGTGCCAGTCTCATAGTCACTGCCTCTGCTTTGGTGCCCATTGTCATGGACGCTTGTGTGAGGTCATTCCGCAGACAGTCTCCTTTCTCACTGACCCTCTACCAAGCATAATGCTTGGAAAGAACTGTAGTCAGTATGCTCAGTGTGAGTGTGGATGGTGAGACTTCATCACGCATACCTTGCGTCTGTTAGCAGGCCGAGCCAGTCCCTTTAGAAAATGTTGTTGTTGTTGTTGTTGTTGTTGTTGTTGTTATGTGCCAATTTGTCATCAAGTCAGAACCAGTGCATAACTGACAGTCCAGCGCATTTTCAGAGGCTGTAAATCTCATAGGAGGTGATTGCCCATCCTTCTCTTGTGGAGCAACTGGTAGATTTAAACCATGTGCTTTTGATATTGCAGTACAGCTTCTTACCACAAGGCCACTAGAGCTTTGTGGCAGCTCTTGAAGGTTTTCTCTTGTGGTTTCTGGAGAAAGGTCCTTGTTTCCTTCCGCATTCCCTGGAGGTCTCCATAGATCCTGGCCTTCTGTTGTGTGGAGTTTCTGAAGGACTTGCCTCCAAAGGTTGTGCTCCACTCCTGGTCTTTCTTAGGTTTACTGAGCTCCCTTCCCCTGCTTGTTTCCTCTTCTTTAATCTCCCTTAAGACAAAGAATGCTCAATGAATGAATTTTTTAAATAGAAAAGTGAAGGGAGATAGGGAGAAAAATGGGCAACAATGAATGAACGGAAATCCAAGTCTTCTGTTGTTGTTGTTGTTGTTGTTGTTGTTGTTGTTGTTGTTATGTGCCGTCGAGTCACTTGTGACTCATAGCGACCCTAAACCCTGCTCTATCCTGTGCCAATCGCACTGCCTCTGACACACCCATCCTGATTACCACAGTTACTGAATTAATCCACCTCATAGAGGGTTTTTCCCGCCTGCGCTGTCCCTCTACCCTCCGAAGCATGATGTCCCTCTCCAAGGACCTGTCCTTCCTTACAACATGTCCAAAGTATGTCAGACAAAGCCTCAGAATCCTTGCCTCCAAGGGAGCAACCTGGTTTAACCCTCTCCAGGATGAATCTCTTTGTTTTTTTGGCAGTCCACAGTACATTTCAATACTCTTCTCCAGCACCACAGCTCAAAGGCATCAATTCTCCTTCTATCTTCCCTAGTCATTGTCCAACTCTCTGATGCATAACAAGTGATTACAAAGACCATAGCCTGTATTAGGCGCACTTTAGTCTCCAGAGTGACACCATTGCTCTTCAGTACCCTGGAGAGGTCCCTAACAGCAGACTTTCCCATCACAATACATTTTTTGATTTCCTGGCTATTGGTGCCAAGAGTGTTGACCGTGGAGCCAAGCAGACTAAAGTTGTTAACAATCTCAATCTCTTCACCATCCATCCTGATGCTGCCAATTGGTCCAGTGGTGAGAATCTTTGTCTTCTTAACATTGAGCTTCAATCCATACTGAAGGCTGCAGTCCTTGATCCTCTGCAGCAAACATTTCAGGTCCTCCTCAGTTTTCAGCAAGCAGAGTTGTGTCATCTGCATAATGCAGACTGTTAATAGATCTTCCACCAATCCTGACGCCACACTTCTCTTCATAGAGCCCAGCCTCTCGGATAATCTGCATACAGGTTGAAAAGGTATGGAGATAGGACACATCCCTGGCGTACGCCTTTCCTAATTTTGAACCATGCAATGTTTCCCTGCTCTGTTCTGATTACTGCCTCTTGGCCCAAGTATAGGTTTCGCATTAGATCGATCAAGTGTTCTGGGATTCCCATTCTTCTCAGAGTCAGCCAAAGTTTGTTATGATCCACACAGTCAGACGCTTTTGCATAATCAATGAAACACAGATAGACATTCTTCTGGGATTCCCTGCTTTCAGCTAAGATCCATCTAACATCAGCTACAACATGCGATCAAGATGCTTTAATAATAATGGGTGACTGGAATGCAAAAGTTGGGAACAAAGAAGAAGAATCAATAGTTGGAAAACATGGACTTGGTGAGAGAAATGAAGCTGGAGATAGAATGATTTAATTTTGCACAATCAATGACCTGTTCATTGCAAATACATTTTATAAGAAACATAAACACAGGTTATACACATGGATTTCACCTGATGGTATGCATAGGAATCAGATCAATTATATCTATGGGAAAAAACCACTGGAGAAGCTCAATATCAGCTGTGAAAACAAGGCCAGGAGCTTATTGTGGAACAGACCACCAGCTACTCATATGCAAGTTCAAGCTGAAGCTGAGGAAAATTCAACCGAATCCACGGGAACCAAAATATTACTTTGAGTTCATCCCACTCAAATATCAGAACCATCTCAGGAACAGGTTTGAAGCCTTGAACACTAATGAGCAAAGACCTGATGAGTTGTGGGAGGATGTCAAATGTATCGTCCAGAAAGAGTGCAGACAGTCATACAAAGACGGAAGAGGAAGAAAAGACCAAAATGCAAGTCAGAAGAAACTCTGAATATTGCACTGGAGCACAGAAAAGCCAAAGCACAAGGAAGAATTCAAGATACTAAAGAGCCGAACAGAAGATTCCAAAGGGCAGCACGGGATGACAAAGCAAAATATTACAATGAAATGTGCAAGGAGCTGGAGTCGGAAAATCAAAAGGGCCGAACTCGCTCAGAATTTCTTAAGCTCAAAGAACTGAAGAACAAATTTAAACCTCGAGTTGCTGTAATCAAGGATGCTTTAGGCAGAATATTAAATGATCCAGGAAGTATTAAAAGAAGATGAAAAGAATATACTGAGTCACTGTTATCAAAAGGAACTGGCAGACACAGAAGAATTTAATGAAATCACATATGAGCAAGAGCCTATGGTGATGAAGGAAGAAGAAGTTCAAGCTGCTTTGAAGGAAATAGCAAAAAATAAGGCCCCAGGAACAGATGGTATACCAATTGACATATTTCAGCTAACAGATGCTGCCCTGGATGTGCTCACCAAGTTGTGCCAAGAAATCTGGAGAACAACCACTTGGCCAACTGACTGGAAGAGATCTATATTTGTTCACATTCCAAAAAAGGGTGACCCAACAGAGTGTGGAAACTATAGAACGGTATCATTGATTTCACATGCAAGCAAGATTCTACTGAAGATTATCCAGAAACGACTGGAACAGCATATCAGCAGAGAACTGCCAGAAGTCCAGGCTGGGTTTAGAAGTCTTCTGTAAAGTAAAAAAAAAAAAAAAAAGACAGTGCTACCAGCCACACCCCAAGTAAAGTCTCCATTCATCAGATCAGGGCTGTTACCTACCAAAGTACCTTCCACCTCCTAGCTGATTGCCCACTCGCTTCTTGGGGATGGCTACACCATCACAGAGCTGCTTTTAAACCTGCCTCGTTGACACCCCAACAACAACAGCATAGAGTTCAATTGGCCTAGTGGACAGAAAGTGATGCTCCCAGGCCAAATATGGGTGTTTTAGTCTGCAGCCCTAAGGCCTGGTTTTAATTGTGTTTGTCAAACATTTTTCTAAGTGGCATAGCACTGGTCTGTCCATTTGCCGTACAGAGCAACTCAGGGTTGCTGTGAAACTGAACACTGTGACACTGATGCATCAAATGTGATAATGGCTACCCATAGTGGACAGTGTTTGGTGGAGCTCCCCTATTAAAACAAGCTTGGAAGCAGGAGTGGCATCTTATTTCCAAAATAGTTTGCCTCTGAAAATCTTATGAACCTGGAGAAAAAAATGAAAGTTATACAAGTGTCCAGGACTTTCATTCATAGAGTCACTATGAGTCACCGACGACTCGACAGCACTAAACAACAAGAATAATTACATAATACTGAAAATCTTGGCCCAGCCAAGTTGACACATGCTTTTGGGGGACACATGTTAACCCATGACACAGGTGATGAACACTTTTCTTTTTAAGGTATATAAACTGTGGGGTTTTTTTATTTCATTCACAATCTTGTGTGAGCTGATTGGTCACCTGGATTAAACGACTATAGTTAACAATTAGCTGTGGGCTGGAGCTTCTTATTTAAGTCAATCAGGACCTGGTGGGTGGGCCTTTGTATTTAAAAGTCTATTGGGCCCAGACTAAGTCTCCAGTTTGGAGGCTTGTGTATGAAGCAGTTGGATTCTGGAGGGTAGGTTCTCTTGTTTTAGTTCAGAGTCTGGTGTTACTTGTGTTTGGGAAGAACATTCCCATTCACTGTTATAGCACTGATCTGTCAGTTTGCTGTACTGAGGTAACTTGTGGTTGCTGTGATGCTGAACACTGTGCCACTGGTGTGTCAAATGCCATAATGGTTTACCATGGTGGACAGAGTTTGGTAGAGCTCCAAATTAAGATAGGCTTGGAATCAGTATTGCATCTACTTCCTAAACAACATGCCTTTGAACACTAGAGAAGTTACTGTAGTCATAGAACAGGGTTCAGATCTTTTGTTCATAGAGTTGCTATGAGTCGTGCTCAACTTGACATCACTTAACAACAACGACAACTATTTATTAACGAGCAAGGCTTTTAGACTTACTTCTCCTTGGACACACCCCTAATATGGTCCCACTGACCAGCAGTCTTAGTGTACTAGCCTTGAACCTAGAAGACCCCGGAAGTGATGCAGCCCTCTGTGGGCACAGATCTTCTTCAGTCACTCCAAGTCTTCACAAAGCTTGTTGTCCAGACCATTGGCCAGAACCTGACTGTATTTCCTATCCTTCACATCTTTTTGTCTGTCCAAGATCCAGTATGGAATTTTGTCCTTGCATGGATTCTACATAATGGTGGTCACTCTCTCCATCTCCTCCTCAGTGAGCTCTCTTGCCTACTTGATGAGGTCAGTGTCTGCTTTCCTCACCACCATGTGAGCACGTCTTCACCCTACACCCTTAATGGCAGTGATAGCATAGGCTATTTTCCGCTTCTCATCAAAGTTAGTGTTGAGTATTTGCAAAATGTGCTGGAACTTAAGCAACAGCAGTGTATAGACCTCCGATGAAAGAGCTATTTTATATTTCTTGAATTCTACAGCCAGATGCACACCCATGTTTATTGTGGCTTTGTCCCCAATAGCAAGGAGTTGGAAACAACCTAAGTGCCTATCAACAAACGACTGGATAGAGAAGCTGTGGAATACTATGCTGCATTGAAAAACAAGGAACTCATGCAATATTATTCAAAATGAGTGACCCTGGAGACATTATGCTGAGTGAAGTCTCTCAGTCACAAAAGGACAAATTCTGCATGGTTCCACTGTTGTAAAACAGGACTGACATCGGGGTTGGGGGGAGACTGGGAAAGATGAATTCAATAATGTATACTGCATTGAAACAGATGAGGGAGAAAACTATTTAAAAGAGATATGTGATTAGGTATTTTTGTCATGACAGGAGTCTAGAGAGAAGACTACATAGTGGAGTGGACCTGGGGGGGGGGGGATTGTAAAACAATGAAAAAATTTTTCTTTTACTTTTCCAAGACTGTAGTGTACTAAGGTAGAGGGTTGGGAGGGGAGAAAAGTGCAACAATAAATGAATGGAAATCCAAAGTGTCTGTAAATTTTTACTGAAATTAATAATACATTTTAAAAAAAATCTACAACCAGTCAAGAAATCAAAAGATGAATTGCATTAGGAAAATGTGCTATCGGGGATCTCTCCAGAGTGCTGAAGAGCAACGATGTCAGTCTAGAGACTAAGATGCGCCCGATCCATTGTCTTCACAGTTACTTTTGAGCTGGACAGTGACGATGAGATGACAGGAGAATCGATGCCTTTTGAGTTGTGAAACTGGAGAGGAGTCTGTGGGAGGAACATCCCATAGCCATATAAACTGAGCAGTATAAAAATTAAAAACTAATTTTTATTAAAAGGCCTTTGTCAGCAGTGTGAAGAGACAGACTATAAATTGGGGGAAGGTTAATTGGGAAACACGTATCTAATGAGGGTTTGATATCCAGAATATAAAAGAAACTCTTTAACAAAGGAGTTGAACAAGTTTATCTTCAAAGAAGCACCTTCATCTTGCATACTTTGAGCATGTTGCTAGGAGAGGCTGTTCTTTGGAGACGGACATCATGCTTGGAATGGTAGAGGATCAGCGAAGGAGGGGAAGACTTAGAAGCACGTGAATTGACATGGTGACTGCAGCAGTGGGCTCGAGTGCCAGAGATGATGAGATGACACAGGATAGGACAGGGTTCAACTGTGTTCACAGGGCTGCTGTGAATCATACTATAAAGCACCTAACACAACAATTGATGGCTTAGTAGTAAGATGTTGCACTGCCAACCCACAGGCACATGGTTTGAATCTACCAGGTGGTCTGGGGAAAAACAGGCAATCTCCTCCTGTGTGATTTAGTCTCTGAAAACCAGCTGGAGGGTTAACTATGAGTCACTTTCCACTTGACAGTACAAACAGCCACCACCCATTTCTACTCCCTTCAAGCATACCCAGGCATTCACCCACAGCCAGGACCTTGTTCCCTTTAAAGCCAGGCCTTTGATGTCCCCAGCCTTCTCCTTCCTCTGTTTTAGCCTCAGATCTAAGAATCCATGTCAAAAATGTGATTCTGAACCATCACCTGTATACTTTTTCTAAGACTTTTTTAAAGTCTTCCTTACCTCTCTGCCATTGATCTGTGCTGAGTTGGTGTTCATGTATCAGTCTGAAATGGTCATCATGGGACTGTCAGAACCTTCCTAACTCCAGGGTGTTGATGCCAGTCAGGATCAAACCTGAAGCTGAGTCTCAGATAGCATCTGCTCTTCTAACTAGTGCTAACACTAGCTGTCCTATCCACACACTCCCTCTGCTCTGCTGGGTTGAGAATCTGTTGCAGTGGTCCCACAGAACTCACCACCATGCTTACAGTTAAGTAATTTCATAAACACCCCGGAGTGAAGAACGTGAGCTGACAGTGCAGACTAGCTCCAACCCCTCCCATCTCTGCAGACATACGGCCCTGTCCTGCCCTGCACACCCCCTGGCAGCCTTGCTGGTCACTTCTCAAGCCCCTCGGGACAGGTCTCTGCCCTTTGAATCCCTGTCATCAGGATTATCAGTCCTAAAATGACATTTGTGCTGTCATCCCGAAGGCCTTGCACCTCTGTGGCAGGTCTCATCCACCAGCAGCTCCACACTAGAAAGATGGCGCAGTCTCCTTCTGTGCAATTTACAGCCTCAGAACACCTGCTGGAGGGTCAGCTAGGAGTGGATCTCCCTGGACAGCAGTGAGTTCTGAGAATTTTTCTGCACAGACCTGGCTCACAGCTGGCATAGCAGCTTGGCCTGCCTACAGAGCAGCACTCCCAGCAGCAGGTGTCAGGGTCCTTGCTGGCCCTGCTGCAGGGCCCCTTTGAGCTTAGAACCCTTCGCTTGATAGTCCAGCAGCCACAGGTCCGCAACCATCTTATCTCTCTCGGCTTCTCATCCCTTCGCTTTTCATTCTGACTCTGAGGGCTAGCCTCTGAGGGGTTGGCTGCAGAGGAGCAAACCCCTGGTAAGTTTCAGGGCATAGCCCTTCTGACAGCTGCATCAGTGTCATTTTTAAGCAGACCATTCTTTCTCTATTCAGTGGACTTAGTATCCTTGTTGAAAACAAATTAACCATAGATATATGGGTTTATTTTTGGATCCTAACTTCTATTCCCTTGGCCTTTGTTTCCTTGTTACAGTGTTACCAAGTACATTTTGAAGTCAGTGTAGGTACTCTTGCCCTGTTTTCTTCAAGAATACTTTAGGGGAAGCATAATACTTGGTATGTTTAGGTCCCCCTGTTGTTCCATTTTCTGCAGAAGCTTTTGGAATTTTTATGATAATAGCATTAAAAGTATGTATGGCTTTGAGAAATAGCGACATCTTATCAGTATTATCCCAGTCCATGAGCACTAAATGTTCTACTTATTTAAGGCTTCTTTAATATTTTCCTTAATGTTTTACGGTTTCACGTGTGCAAATATTTCATCTCCCTGGTTAAGTCTTTTCCCTAGTACTTTCTCATTAGCTATTTTATTCTTTTAGCTGCTGTCATAAATGGAAATATTCCTTTCATAATTTTTTTTTAAAGTCTGCTTTTCTCTGCTTCTCGGAGGTGCTCATAGTCTGTTGTCCTTCCAGTTCATGAGGGAGATGGCAGGCGCGTGGCAGATGACGGTGGAGCAGAAGCTCGGTCTGTTTTCTGCAGAGATAAAGGAAGCCGACCCTCTGGCGGCCTCAGAAGCAAGTCAGCCAAAGCCCTGTCCCCCTGAGGTGACACCACACTACATCTGGATCGACGTGAGTGCCTTTGTCCCTTCCTCTGTGGGGTGAAGGCTCAGTGGCCCTCAGGAAGGCATCTTTCCATGAGAAGAGGGGAGACTCATAGCCTTCTGCCTAGCAACTTCTGGGCCACTGCAGGCCCTCCATCCCATGCCTTGCCCCAGGGAGGTGCAGCCACCTCTAGCGCTAGGCTGCCTGTGTCCACCATGGCCACAGCACGTCCTGTTTCCCTCCCTCCATAGTTCCTGGCACAGCGCTTTGAGATTGCCAAGTACTGCAGCTCTGATCAAGTGGAGATCTTCTCGGGCCTCCTGCAGCGCTCCATGTCCCTGAACATCGGCGGGGCCAAGGGGAGCATGAATCGCCATGTGGCGGCCATCGGGCCCCGCTTCAAGTGAGAGCCTGTCCTGGGAACCAGCACGGGGGCCTCCCTTGGGCGTACCACGTATGGGGACGAAGGGCAGAAGGCGGCCGGTGATCCTTGTAACAGTGGGGAGGTCTTCCTGGCCACTGGCCTGGTATTACACCTGTACCAGTGCCACTTCCCTCCTAGAGCGCCAGCCAACGTGACTGTCCTCAACCCTGCACCCCCTTCTCTGAGTCCTTAGTACTTTCTCCACAATATCATCTCCCTCCAAAGGTCTCTGCTCCCAGTGCCCTTTCTCTGCTGAGGCATCTTCTCCTGAGGGCACATGCCCTGATGCTTCCTCAGGCTTACTGGTGTCCGGTGCAGCTTTATCTGGATTGACAAAGATCTCCCACAGTTGGCCATTTAAAACAGAAGATGACCAGGTTCCCAGTACACGCTTGATTCCCTGGAGCGACCAGGGCAGGAATGACCAGAGCTTTTTCCAAGCACAGGGAAGAGGCCAGGCACCAGGTGCATTTGCAGGGGTGGAGTAAAGGGGCTGCCATAGCTTCAGGCAGTGCAGGAGCACGAAGGACATACCACACAAAGGGCAGAGCACCCTGCTCAAGGTGAAGACAAGGAACTTGTGTGGGGTGATCAGTGAGCACAAGGCTTAAGGGCAGCCTTGCTGCCCAGGGACTCCCCTGTGCCCAGCAGGTGAAGCGAGGCTACACGTGAGGCAGGAAGGTAGACTGGCCAGACTTGTTCAGGGTCTGTGGGTGAAGTCAGCGGGGACCCGAAGAGGCCTTTGTCCTATTCTGTGGCTCCCATTAGAGAGCTTTGGGCTCCCAACAATCCCCCTGCAGTGAGTGTCCTCTCAGGTACTGCTCCCTGAACTTGGAATGAAGAGGTCAGCTTCCAGCCTGTCAACAAGTATATATATGATTTGTAGCAAAAAGGGCCCCCCAACCTGCCACATTGCTACAGATATTGGCATGGGGTCAGCCTCATTTACCATCATCTCAGGCTGTCCAGGGTGTATACCAGTGCCGAGCTATGGTCATTAGAGCACACTGCCCAAGGAGGCTTGGGCCTCCTGCTCTCAGCCTCCCTCCATGCTTCCCAGTGTAGGTGCTTTAGGAAAAGCAGTTGTTGTGAGGACCAAGGTTCAAGGACACAGCCTGGCTACCTTTCACATCACCTCCATCCTCCCTCTCCCCTCACTCCATCCTTTTCCCTCTTTCCATCCTCCTCTTTGTCCATCCTCCTTCCTCTCCTCACTCCACCTACTCTCCCCTCACTCCATCCTCCCTGATACTCACCTGTATCCTCCCTCTCCCTTCACTCATTCTCTTTCTCCCCTCCCCATCACAGCCCTGCTGTGGGATTTTTGCCTGTGTGAGCCCACTTGCTCACTCCCCTCAGAGTGGGCTCACATTTGCACCCCTGGCTGCAGTGAAAGTCTCTTGAGAGTGTCACCCTGTGTACCTCCAACCCCTTTTCCCCACACACTCACTTCCTACTTCCTGTTCTCAGCCCTAACAGACACTGCTCTCCTCTGCCCACCTACCCCCACACCTCTCCAGACCTCTCCTGTATGGCAGGCCCTCACTCTAAGATGGGTCCCTCTGGGGAACAGAACATGGCTTTTTACTAAGTTCAGCTTCCTCTTTCACCTCAGGATGTGAGCACCCTATTGTGGGATGGTGCCACTCCCCAGCTATCCCACCCTGTGCCCCCACTCAGCACTTGTCCCATAAAACACAACGTGGGCAATTTTGTTTTGTCGGGGTTTTTCGTTTTTGTTAAATATTCCCCATTCAGAGCTCTCCTGGGAATACTTTGCTAGCCCTCTTTCTGACTGATATTTGTGGCCAAGACTTTCACACAGATTGTTTCTCTCCAAACAAAAGTAAAAAAAAAAAATAAAGTAAAAGACAAGAGTCTTTATAGAAGCTGGGCTGAAACTTTGCTGTCTAATAAATGTGTGGGCTGTAAACACATGGCCTGCCCAGAAGCCCGGGTCTGGAGGTTAGGGTTTGGTAGGCATTCCCTCGGTCCTGCGTTCTGGTCCCATGGGCAGGGCACAAGAACAAGCCCATCCAAATGGTCCTGTTCCTCCCACAGGCTGCTCACGCTGGGGCTGGCCCTGCTGCATGCTGACGTGGTCCCCAATGCCACCATCCGCAACGTGCTCCGGGAGAAGATCTACTCAACCGCTTTTGACTACTTCAGGTACTGCCCATGTGTGGGCAAAGCATTCTGGGTCAGGCCAGTCGGCTCCTCCATGGTCCTAGCCCCTAGGACATCAGCATGCCTCGAGTATGTCCCTGCCTCTCTACCAGCAACCCCAGAAGCTCTGTGCTTGTGTCTCCCCGTGGTTCGTTAAAGTGGTTGGCATAAGTGATAAAAAATAGGGGTGGGAGCTTCATGCTGTAGCTTTGCACATGTGCAGCAAGCTGGGTTGTATGTCCCACTAGCATAGCTCTGTCTCAGCAGAATGGAATTGGCCTCCCTGTCGGGGTGGAGAAGGCAGAAACGAGGGGCCTCTAAAAGTCCCCACAGTCATGAGTGGGCCACTGCAGCCATTGTTGCTGATTGCTCACCAGTGTGCTAGGAGACCATCCCATCACTTGTAATGTGGCAGCGTCTAGTATCTGATCCTCAGCACTCACATGTCTCCTGTGCTGGTTCATAGTTGCCCCCCCAAGTTTCCTACTCAAGGAGAGAAGAGGCTACGGGAAGACATCAGCATCATGATTAAGTTCTGGATGGCTATGTTCTCCGACAAGAAGTACCTCACTGCCAGCCAACTCGTGCCCCCAGGTGAGCGTTATTCTCAGCAGGCAGCTCCATGTGGAGGGTGACAGGGAAGCGAGGTGGAGGTGTGAAACAGGCTCCTGAGAAGTAAGGCAGAAGAGCTTCCAGATCCTAGCTGGGCCCTGAACTCCTGAGCCTGCTTGCTCCCTCCCTGGGTGAGGGGCCTGGTTTCATCAATAGAGCCCAAACAGAAAGCCGTGGATGAGCCAGGAGGGCTCTAGACAGACAAGCCTTCTCCAAGAGCAGTCACGTGGGCCTGGATGGGTCACCAGTCATGCTGAATGTGGGTGAAGAAGGTGAGTTCATGCTCAGCTAGGCAGTAAACTTCCAAATTGACAGGTCGTTTTAGTGTCAGGCCTGTAAGGGCACTACTTGCAGACAAGCCAGAATGCAGAGTCCAGAAGAGCTGGTTGTAGGGGCTGGCTGGGCTGGGCCAGTACCCTCTGGACAGAAGACGCCAGAGTCAAGGAGGATATGCTGAGCATTAACCCCCACAAGAGCAGAGCTGTCTTGTTCTCGTGGTATTCCTTGCAGAAGGGTGAAGTGCTGCCGGGTGCTGTCCCATGGTCACAGCAGGTGAGAGCCCTGTGACCCCTGGTCTTTTCTCTGGCAGGTGTTCAGAAGCAGAGCTCCAACCTTTCCTCCTGGCTCACTTTCATCTGGTAGTTCCACTGAAACCCAATTAGCATCAGCAAGAGATAGGCCTTACCTGACGCATGCTGAATTTCCGCACAGGAAATGGACTGGCCAGGAACCGAACCTGAATCTTCCACATAGAAGGTGTAAATCCAGCCACCGTACCAACAGTATCTCCCAGGAGCCAATGGCAGGCCGCAGTGTAGAGATAAGTTTGTGAAGGCTGGCTTAACAGGCAGCTTCGCAAGAAGGAAAAGGAAACCTGAAATCCTAGACAGAAGTGCTCAGTCTGCATTCTGAGCGGGCCATGTGATCTCTGATGGCCGAGACCTCATGGACACCAAGGAAATGCAACGTTAGTGTAGTTTGTCAAGAAAAGGATGATTTTTATTTGGTGCTACTTTAAAGGCAAGAATGGTTGGTAGAGAGTTAGAAGATTCCATCTAAAATGGTTGAAAGAAAACTTGTCAGATGGCTGGAAAACTCCCTCTGTTAGATAGCCTTTTCTGCTGAATTGTCTCCACCATGCACCTCCCTCCCTAGTCTCTACCATGAAGGCCTGTTGAGGGTCTCGTGCTGACCACTGCGCTCTCATGGCCATCCAGTACACTGTCACGTGCCCCTCTTTGCAGACTCAATGTTGTTTTTGTTTTCAGATAACCAGGACACACGGAGCAACCTCGATATCACAGTCGGCTCTAGGCAGCAGGCCACACAGGGCTGGATCAACACATACCCACTGTCCAGTGGCATGTCCACCATCTCCAAAAAATCGGGTGAGTGGGCATGCGGTCCTCACCCAGCATGTGGAGGTGTGCAGAAAGAATGTAAGGGTGTGCTTCTGCTGGATTCTAAAAACACGGGGTGCAGAGGGGACTCTGAGAACATGCCTATGCTTGTCTCTGCTCTCAAGGGATGTCCAAGAAGACCAACCGGGGCTCCCAGCTGCACAAGTACTACATGAAGCGCCGGACACTGCTGCTGTCGCTGCTGGTGGGTCCCAGGCGCAGCACCTCCTTCATGCCCACACTGCCCCTGGCCCTGAGGCAGAAACATAGGACTTCTGGTCATCTCCGCAGGCCACCGAGATCGAGCGCCTCATCACCTGGTACAACCCTCTCTCGGCCCCTGAGCTGGAGCTGGACCAGGCAGGGGAGAGCAGTGTGGCCAACTGGCGATCCAAGTACATCAGCCTGAGTGAGAAGCAGTGGAAAGACAATGTGAACCTGGCCTGGAGCATCTCACCTCACCTTGCTGTGCAGCTGCCAGCCCGGTGAGTCCCAAGTCACATAAGCCCTACAACACAGCACAAGGTGGTGCAGCTGCAGCACAAGGTGGTGGTCAGGGTACCCGAGGGCCATCCCCTGTGCTGGAACAGCACAGCAGCCCAGCAGAACAGCAGCCGCCCACAGTGACAGCTCCCTGGTGCCAGGGGAGCCATAGCGGGGTAGAGCAGGGTCACGGTCTCATTCAGTGGAGGCACGGAGGCTGCTGCCCCACAGGAGGTGGGTGTGGGTTCTTCCCACATGCCAGCTGCCAACATGGCAGTGGGCAGAAGGCATAGTTCTGCTGGCAGCTGATCCTTAAGAGTTTTTCTTCACAGGCTCAGGAATCTTAGACTGATGGGTCTTGAAAGGGATTTCAGACAAACACCCGCTGCAGAAATCTCACCAGACAGTCCTTAGCCAGGGTAGACACTTCCTCAGACCCAGCTCCAATCCCATCTCTGTGACCCTGAGCTTAAAGAGTGTCCCCTGCCTTGGGAGAGCCAAGCCTGGAGGAGCAGCTAGGAGGGTCAGGGCAAGGGGCAGTGGTGCCAGAAGGGGTATATAGCGTAGGAACTGGAAAAGGAGGCCTTCCTGGGAGTACTGAGTACCAGGTACAGCCGGTACTTGGCATGGCTGGTCATGATATTTATCATAAGCTCTGTCAATCAAACTTGTTATTGTTGTGTTCTGTCGAGTCAGAACTGATCTCCAGCTGGTTTTCAGAGGCAGTAGCTAGTACGAGAGGAGACTGCCCATCCTTTTCTCAAGGAGCTGGTAGATTTGAACCGTGTGCCTTTGGGTTGCAGTGCAGCAGCTCCTTACCACTAGGCCACCAGCGTTCCCTTCAGATTTAACAGTGTGACCCTCCAAGGGCCGCCTCAGCTGACCTGAAGCCCTCCAGCACAGTGCTATCCACTGTCCTGACCAGGCAAGGGCTCCTCTTCTGACAAAGAGCCCCTCACCTGCCCCACTGTGTGCTGCAGGTTTAAGAACACAGAAGCCATTGGCAACGAGGTGACCCGTCTGGTCCGGTTGGACCCAGGAGCTGTTAGTGATGTTCCTGAGGCTATCAAGGTAGTGTGCGGGACCTGGGGGGCCTGAGTGCACCAGGTGGGGTGAAGCTGCCTCTTCCTCCTCCCTTCTCCAGTGCTGGTACAGAGCATATGTCACATTTACAGCCATCACTGGCTGGCATTTGCAAGTTGATTGCCAGTTTCTAGCTAGTTCATCTTAACTGGAAAACACCCCTGAAGCCTGCCTGTGGGTGAGGCTGTGGTGCCTGCCCAGCACCTTCCCAGCCCTCACAGCCCTTGTTCTGAGACGAGTGATTATGTGATGATGCAGATTCAGGCAAGGTCCTGTAGGTACAGTTGTTTTGATTCAGAAGCAGCTCGGACAGCGCATCAGCAACACTGCATTACAATAGAAAACATACCACCATGATTTAGGTACAGTATAGCACAGCAGGCGCCTTCTCCTGGGTGATTTAACTTCACACTGTGTGGTAACCACATTCTGCATGCCTTTCCCCTATCCTGGCCATGAGCCTTGACCTTTTTTCCTGAAGTCACCCATTCCTCCTCTCTGTTCTCAGTTCCTGGTCACCTGGCACACCATAGATGCCGATGCCCCTGAGCTCAGTCATGTGCTCTGCTGGGCACCCACGGACCCGCCCACTGGCCTCTCGTACTTCTCCAGCTTGTACCCACCACACCCCCTTACTGCACAGTACGGGGTCAAGGTCCTGAGATCCTTCCCGCCGGTGAGCCCAGCCCTGCCTGGCCCGCCAGGGGACCTGGGGGGACTGCTCCACGCCAGAAGGGTGTAGTGGGTAAAGAGGAACTGTTCTCCTGGTAGAACACCAAGTAGTCAGTGTTGTCACGGACAGGTCTCATTCAAGGGCATTCCCTAAATGTATTTGTTCTTTAACCGTGATTAGATAGTTTAAAAGCAAAGTTTTCTGGAGCATAGCCCGGGAGAGTAGGGGTCTGGAAGTCCACTTCTTTGTGGCCCAAGCTCTGTGAGGCATTTCCAAGCTAACAAGCCCAAAAAGCCCTCGCCACCTCCCACTGGGCACGAGAGTCTCATCCTGTGAGCACAGCTGCCCCTTGAGCTGTCCTGAGCTATTGTGTCCAGGTGCCCGGTGAAGTTAGCAGGGTGTGGAGTGAAGCAGGGACAGTCACATTTGGTTCGAGGGACCCTTCACAGCTTTGACAGCCACTTTCTCCCATCACTACAGGACGCAATCCTATTCTACATCCCACAGATTGTGCAGGCCCTCAGGTACGACAAGGTGAGGCTACCAGCAGCGCCTGCTGCCATCCTGTCTCTGTTCCTGGGCTGTGCCACACAACGACGCTGCCTGACCTGATCCTCCATGCCCAAATGTGATGCCCCTTCAGGGCCCTTATAATCCCCACTGCCAGGGTCTGACACCCCTCTGTGTTCCCAGTGCCAGAGTCTGACACCTCTGCTCATCCTTGTTGTCCCAGTGCCAGGTTCTGACACCCCTCTGTGGTCCCCATGCTCCTAATGTTTAGGATCTGCCACCAATCTGTGTTCCTGATGTTTGAGATCTGATACCCCTTTGCTTTGTTCTGTCCTGGACTGTCCTAAGGACCCATCTTGCTCTTCCCACAACAGAGAAGTGCTCTGAAGGTCGCTAGTGGCCTCTGGGGGTGGAAGGGTGGGGGGCAGTCAGCCTCCTCAAGCACATGGTTTTCACAGGTGACTGAGCTTCCTGGGGCCCAGCTCTCACCTCTCAGGGAGATGGGGTGAGGTAGTATGCATGGAGGGAGACACAGGGAGACTGGCCTGAGCAAGGTGCTCCAGGTCAGCATGCTGGAGTGCCTACCCTCTCCCCATCCCCACTGATGCAGGCCCCTCATGGCCCCCCTGATGCCCTGAGACCCTCAGTGTCCTGCCTGAACCCACCCTGTCCACCTGTGCACTGCCTCTTATCCACCACCAGAGTGGGGGCTTCTCCAGGAGGTTTTCTGGAAATAGTTACCCCAAAACCCTTCATCACCTAGGACATGGTGACAAAACCTGACCACTCATGAGTGGCAGGAAGTGACCAAGTAGGGGAGGGAGAGAGGTTCTGAAGACCATGAGAGTAGATGTCGCTTCTGCATTAGAGAGTGCTGCAACATGACCAGCAATTTAGACCATTTACCTAAACAACCAACTTAGAAATGTGTTTTTAGTACCTAATTTCCTCATTTCTTGGACTTGACCAAAGTTCCCACTTATTATACCTGCCCACCCACAGTCCTAGCTAGTGGGATTCAGCAAGATACAGACCCTGTCCACTTACCTATGCACAGTCCCAGCTAGTGGGAGTCAGCATGGTCCCAGCCCAGTTTCCCCAAACCTGCCCACCCACCTCCCTACCTTCCAACAGTTCCAGCTCCCCTATGCCCCCACAGACCTACTCACTCACATACCCACAGTCCCAGCTTATGGGAGTCCACATGGCTCCAGGCCCCCACAGGCCTGCGTAAATACCCACTCACAGTCCCAGCTCGTGAGAGTCAGCATGACCCCAGTTCAGCTCCCCAGACCCCCACAGACCCTGCCCACAGGTGGGCCCCTGTCCGCAGTTTCACATCTTACCAGATTTCTAAGCATTGGGAGTTCATTGTTTCTCAGGGTTAGAACGTGGAGATGCCAGGCCTGGCTGATGCCTTCTCCCCACAGATGGGCTATGTTCGGGAGTACATCCTGTGGGCAGCATCCAAATCCCAGCTGCTGGCCCACCAGTTCATCTGGAACATGAAAACTAACATTTATCTGGACGAAGAGGGCCACCAGAAGGATCGTGAGTACCTCATTTACATAGCACCTTCTCAGTTGGGCCTCCAGTATCTTCCCTAGGCCCTGGGGCGTCCCCTGGTGATCTTGACCACTTTTCTCCAGCACAGCCAGTAGCAGCTGCCCTAGCACACAGAAAGACTCCCCTCAGCCACTCTGCAGACACCCACTGTCCGCCCTGCTCTGCCCCATCCTGCCGCTGCCTCAGGTCACAGCCCCTGCTGATAGTGAGCTGCTACTCTTGGGCTGGACACACCCCAGGTGTAGAGGGGTACAGGGTGGTCATTCTTGTGTAAAAATGACTGTTTTCCAAAATAAAAACATAAAGACAGTTATTTCACATCTTTGCCAGTCTCATTTGTGTCTGGCTCCATTGAGAAAGGATTCTCCTCCTGCTTCTGCATCTAATCTGTTGTAAGGTGTTCTTTGGGTGAAGTGCCTCGAGGGAAATCTAGCCTAGTCCAAATGGAAGGCGTAGGTCAGTAAGTTACAAAGATCTGCCACATGTTGACACATTTCATTATACAGCATCGCAGTGTCATGTTTGCTAATATCCCGACTCGTTTAGGAAAGTTCTGTGCTGGGAAGCCGGCGAGCTCACAGTTGCCAGCATCTTAAGATGGAGCAAAGTTGTCCTCTCCTCTCGAGCTAGAAAAGACTCAGTGGCAATGAGTGCAGTTTGTCTGGCTAACTCCATTTCTTCTCAAGACAGTGTTACGCACATAACAAAGGCTGAATAGCTACATATTCTTTGGCCTAGCTGAGCAGGACAAACTGTTTTCAAATGAAAATGAAGCACTGAAAACCCAACTTGTTTAGCTGACACAGTTCTTTTTATTGTTGTTATTGTTAGGTGCTGTTGAGTCAAGTATGACTCAATGATTCTGTCCTGTGCCATCCTCATCATCTCTGATACATGTGAGCCCATTGCACAGTCACCTTGTCAATCTAGATGGAGGTCTTCCTCTCTTTCACTGACCTTCCACCTTTCCAAACATAGTATCCTTCTTTTTCCAAGGAATAGCCTCTCCTAAGCAAACATGCCTAAAGTATGAGAGACGGAGCTTTGCCATCCTTGCCTCCAAGGAGCGCTCAGGCTGTTTGTTCTTTTGGCAGTCCGTGGGATATTCAGTACTCTTCAGTGCCACAACTCAGAGGCCTCATTTGTTCATCTGTCACACTTATGCCTTTCTTCAATTCTCAGATGCATAGCAAGTAATTGAAAAGACCAAGACCTGAATTATGTACTCCTTAGCCCTCAAGCTAACATCATTGCTCTTCAGTATTTTGGAAAGGTCCTGACAACAGACTTGCCCAACTCCCTATGTCACCTTATCTCTGGACTGCAAATCCAAGCAAGATGAAAAATCATCAGCGGTTTCAATCCTTTCTCCATCTGTCATGTTGCCGCCCCTGGCCCAGTGGTGAGGACTTTTGTCTTCTTGATGTCAAGGTGCAATCAGTGCTAAAGGCTGTTGTCTTTGATCTTCTGTAACAAGCACTTCAGGTCCACTTTGTTTATAACAAGCAAGGTTGTGTCATCTGCATAACACATTCTCATGCCACATCCTTCCTTCTAGAGATTGGCTTCACAAACTATTTGCTTAGCATACAGATTGAATAGTTATAGAGAATGAATACAACACTGACCATACCCCTCTTGATTTGAAACCTTCCAGTGTTCCCTTGTTCAGTTCAGACAGTAGCTTCTTGGTCTAGGTATAGATTTTGTATGAGCACAATTAAGTGTTCTGGGATTTCCATTCTTCTCAATATTAGCCAGAGTTTGTTGTGATCCACACAGTCAAATGCCATTGCATAGTCAATAAGACACATTAATACAGAAAAAAAAACACAAGATAGACATTTTTCTGATATTCTCAACTTTCATGCAGGGCCCAATTGAACATCAGTAGTGAGATCGCTGGTGCCACAGCCTCTTCTGCTTTTTTTTTCCCCCCCCATCAGACTGTAAAATGTTTTGGCCTGTTTCCATGAGGAAACTTAGTGGAGCATGATGTTCTCTGAGAGAACAATGTGTGGCACCAGGAGACGGGCTGCAGCCCCAATCCTGGAATGGGTCCTGAAAGGGTCAGCTGTGCCCCAGCTACAGAAACTGAGTCCCAGCTGCAGACTGGACACCTTCACAAGTTCTTTCACCCTCCTGGACACCTACAAGGATGCAGTAATTGAGCCTCATGCGGGCGATGTTACCCAGCCTGAGGACAGTAATCAGCTCCATGTGACCCGCAGATGCAGTCAGTCAGCCGGCAGATGTGAGCCTTGGGACCCTCCCTGTAAATGAGGTTGCATGGGTTCCTGGCCTTGAGAAAGAAGTGTGTCATGAAGAGCTCGCCAAAACCACCCTAGCTGGGCCAGAAGGGCAGTGGGGTGTAAAGGTGCAAGCCGTCTGCCCAGTACACATCTCCACCCAGGTAGTCTCCTTCACTCTCCGGTCCGATACTGTGTATCCACAGATGGTGGTCAGGCTGCCCAGGTGAAACCGATTGGCAGTACTTGATAATTTATCACCAGTGGGCACCAACATCCCATGCCAGAGAGAGGCCAAGATGACCAAGTCCAACACTGACTGGAGCTCAGAGTCCTCCTTGAGGAAGCTCATATCTCCACCAGTGTAGCCCAACAGCTCCTGGTTCATTTTCAGCAGGTCTCCTTTTCCTGGTACGATGGAGGGATTCTGAGAGTTGAAGACCATCAAGGGCGAAAGTGATGACTTGAGGGAGTGTCCACTTTCCTTCCAAATAGCAAAGGAGGCCATTCCCTAGAGGCAGCCCAGCTCTCTCCACAGATCTCCCCACTTCACCATGTGGCTGGTCTTCCAGACCAGAAAACTATACTCAGCCCACACTCCTTGATCTGTCCCAAAGCTCCAAGGGAGCTGTCTAGTAACCTCTTAAGTGTACAGAGAATATCAAAGTTCCCAGGCTCATTCCATAAGAAAACTGAAAAGTCACCTTTTCGGCACAGCCAAGGAGATTCAGAAGTTTGAGGCCACAGACTGTACTGCCTTCATTGTTCCCAACCGTAGTGTTAAAACTACCTGTTAATCTCCTTACAGTGCAGTCACTTCAAATGTAACATCTAAACCATTTGGAAGTGCATCATCACCTTGACATGTAGTGATCAAAACATCTGCTTATCTAAATATTCCCAGATGGAGCAGTTTTTCCCAAGCCTCTTGAGATTTCCACATGACATCAATGAGGTTTTTAGCCTTAAAAACATCTCCTGTTTCATATGTGATGATAGCATCTTTTGTCCTTCCAAGTGCATCAGAATGAGCATACTGAACAACCTTGATCTCCAGAATCTCCTGTTTAGCTTCAAGCTCAACTTCAACGAACTCTTGGCTTCTCCTAACACTCCAAAATCCTACTAAAAGAGGCTCCAGACTCTGGGTATGCATGGTCCCCATGCTTCCCTCCGTAGCATCTTCTAAACCCAGCTTGAACTTCTGGCAGTTCCCTGTCAGTGAACTTGTTCTAGCCATTTTTGAATGATCATCAACAATATTTTGCCTATATGTGACATTAATGGTGGTGGTGGTTGTTATGTGCCATCGAGTCACTTGCAACACATAGCGACCCTATGTACAACAGCCCTGAAACCTGCTCTATCCTGTGCCAACTTTACTGTCTCCAACACACTCTCCTCCATTATCCCAGTCCCTGTATCAATCCATCTCATCTATGGTCTCCCTCTCTTTCTCCATCCCTTCACCCTTCCAAGCATGATGTCCCTCTCCAAGGAGCAGTCCTTCTTGCAGCATGCCTCAGAATTCTTGCCTCCAGGGAGCAGGCTGGCTTCACCCTCTCTAGAATAAACTTGTTTGTTCTTCTTGACAGTCAAAACTCTTCTCCAGCACCACAGCTCAAAGGCATCTCTTTCTATCATCCCTAGTCATTGTCCCGCTCTCTGATGAATACCAACCAATTGCGAAGACTGTGGCCCGGATCAGGTGCTCCTTAGTCACCAGACTGACATTGCTGTTCTTCTGTACTCTGGAGAGGTTCATGACAGCCAACTTTCCCCAATTTGTGTCTTGATTTCCTAGCTGCTGGTACCAAGAGTATTGATTGTGGAACCATGCAGACTAAGTCTGTTAACAATCTAAATCTCTCCATGTTCTGTTGGACCACCTATCTTGGACATGGGAACAGATATGAATCTCTTCCAGTCAGTTGGCCAGTCAGCTATCATCCAAATTTCCTGGCATAGACTGGTGAGCACATCTAGAGTTGCATCTGTTACTTGAAAAATATCAGACGGCAGCCCATCTATTTTTGGTTCCTTATTTCTTAAGCTCAAGGAACTAAATTCAAGGAAAAAATTCAAACCTCGAGTTGCTATAATCAAGGATGCTTTAGGCAGAATATTAAATAATCCAGGAAGTATTAAAAGAAGATGGAGAGAATATACAGAGTCACTCTACCGAAAGAAATTGGCAGACACAGAAGAATTTAATGAAATAACATATGAGCAAGAGCCTATAGTGAGGAAGGAAGAAGTTCAAGCTGCTTTGAAGGAAATAGCAAAAAATAAGGCCCCAGGATTAGATGGTATACCACTTGACGTATTTCAGCTGACAGATACTGCCCTGGATGTGATCACCAAGTTGTGCCAAGAAATCTGGAGAACAACCACTTTGCCAACTGACTGGAAGAGATCTATATTTGTTCCCATTCCAAAGAAGGGTAACCCAACAGAGTGTGGAAACTATATAGAACAGTATCATTGATTTCACATGCAAGCAAAATTCTGCTGAAGATAATCCAAAAACAACTGGAACAGCACATCAGCAGAATACTGCCAGAAGTCCAGGCTGGGTTTAGAAGGGGTCGTGGTGCTAGGGATATTGTAGCTGATGTTAGATGGATCTTAGCTGAAAGCAGGGAATACCAGAAGAATGTCTGTGTTTCATTGACTATGCAAAGACATTTGACTGTGTGGATCATAACAAACTATGGCTGACTCTGAGAAGAATGGGAATCCCAGAACACTTGATCGTTCTAATGCAAAACCTATACTTGGACCAAGAGGCAGTTGTCAGAACAGAGGAGGGAAACACTGCATGGTTCAAAATTGGGAAAGGTGTACGCCAGGGATGTGTCTTATCTCCATACCTTTTCAACTTGTATGCAGAACAGATTATCCGGGAGTCTGGGCTCTATGAGAAGTGTGGCGTCAGAATTAGTGGAAGAGCTATTAACGATCTGCGTTATGCAGATGACACAGCCCTGCTTGCTGAAACTGAGGAGGACCTGAAGTGCAGCCTTCAGTGTGGATTGAGGCTCAATGTCAAGAAGACAAAAGATTCTCACCACTGGACCAATTGGCAGCATCAGGATGGATGGTGAAGAGATTGAGATTGTTAACAACTTTAGTCTGCTTGGCTCCACGGTCAACACTCTTGGCACCAGTAGCCAGGAAATCAAAAAATGTATTGCGATGGGAAAGTTGGCTGTTAGGGACCTCTCCAGGGTACTGAAGAGCAGTGGTGTCATTCTGGAGACTAAGGTGCGTCTGATAGGGGCTATGGTCTTTGTAATCACTTGTTATGCATCAGAGAGTTAGACAATGACTAGGCAGGATAAAAGGAGAATTGATGCCTTTGAGCTGTGGTGCTGGAGAAGAATATTGAATGTACCATGGACTGCCAGGAAAACAGATTCATCCTGCCAGGAAAACAGATTCATCCTGGTTAGGGTTAAAGCAGGCTGCTCCTTGGAGGCAAGTATTCTGGGGCTTCGTCTGACATACTTTGGGCATGTTGTAAGGAGGGACAGGTCCTTGGAGAGGGACATCATGCTTGGGAGGGTGGAGGGATGGTACAAGAGGGGGAAACCCTCTATGAGTTGGATTGATTGAGTGACTGCGGTAATCGGGATGGGTATTCAGAGGCAGTGCGATTGGCACAGGATAGAGCAGGGTTTAGGGCTGTTGTACATAGGGTCGCTATGAGTCACAAGCGACTCGATGGCACATAACAGCACAACAGCATTGTTTGGTAATATCTATAATGCAATTTGAACTTTTTCCTTTGTTACCATTGGTTCTTATTCATATACTACTTTGTGGAATTATTCAGTGTCAACCAGTTCTTTTTTTTTTTCCTTGTTGTATACCATCAAGTCAGGTCTGACTGGCACAAAGGAGATTGTCCCTCTTTCTCCAGCAGAGCATCTGGTGGATTCGAACCATGTGCCTTTGGGATGGCAGCACAGCTTTTTGCCACTTAGGCCACCTGCACTCGCTTACCGGTTCTTTTTAATATAGTGTCTCTAAGTATTTCTTCCATCTTATTTTTTTAAATGTTTTTTTATTGGCTTTCATATAATTCCTTTATTTTTCATTCATATACATTATGTTTATACAATCTTTCTTTTATAGTAGTTTTTAATTGGTTTGCTTACAAAATTTATATATGTTGTGTTTCACACAGTTCTTCATTCACGTTGAAAGATAAGAGAATAGGGATTAGTAAAATGGTTATTGTTACTAGAATAAAGGTGTGAAATATATTAATATATTCAAGTAGTTAAATATATTATAAAGATTAAATCTCTGCTCATCAAAAACTTTTTCTATCTTCTTTTTTTTTTTTTTTTAATTTTTTTTTTCTATCTTCTTTTCATACTTCAGGATTTTGCCGTTGGCATCTTTCAGTACTGCAACTTAAGGATTGAAAATGTTTTTCTGTTCTTTTAGCTTGAGAAATGCTAAGCCAGTTCTCTTTTTATTCTCTGATTCTAGTTCTTTATATATTCCGCTTTGTCTTCTCGAGCTGCCCCTTGAAACCTTCCATTCAGCTCTTTGTTGTTGTTGTTATGTGCCGTCGAGTCGTTT